GGGGGCCGCCGCCGAGCCCGCCGAGCCCGCGCGAGCCCGCACTGTGCCCGCAGTGGTGAAGCGGCGGCTGGTGAAGTTGGTGGTCAATTTCCTCTTCTACTTCCGGACCGACGAGGCCGAGGTAGGGCGGCGGAGCGGGCGGGGCCGGGCTCGCCGCGCAGGCCGCCCCCCGGGAGGGCCTGGCCCGCTCCCACGCTTCCCCACGCGACCCCGTGTGCCCCCAGCCCGTCGGAGCCTTGCTGCTGGAGCACTGCAGAGTCAGCCAGGAAGAGCCCCGCGGCTTCTCCATCAGTGAGTGCGGAACCCTCCCCGGCCGGCAGGCAACCCCCTCGGGCGCGGCTCGGACACCCGGGGGCCCGCCGTCCGCGCCCCGGGCCGCTTACTAGCCACCACCCAGGCGCCCCAGGCCTTTCCTTGTCGGGCGAGCAGTTTCAGGGTGCCTCGCTCCCTGCGTCTGTGCCCCCCTCCCCCGCCCCCGACTCTGAAAGGACTGCGGGGGAGGGGTTTAAGGTTACCCTCTGCCAGTCTGGAGTCCGAGAGCCAGGTGCCAGCAAGGCTGGTTCCTGCCAAAGGAGAATCCCAGCTTCTGGGGCTCACCGGCAGTCGTAGGCTGTGGAAACACTGCCTAATCTTTGCCTCTGCTGTTCTCTGTGTGTCCAAACCTGGCCTTTTTGTGAGGTTACAGGTCCTGGAGTGGGGCCTCCCTGAGCCAGGGTGCCCGCCCTTTAATTACACCTGCAGTGAACCTGTTTGGGAATAGCAGATAGCGTCACATGCCCAGGTCTCAGGGGTTAGCACTTTAACATGTTATTTTTGCTTTTTTTTGAAATCAAGTTTCTACATTGTAAACATATCCTTTGGGGTCAGAGTTAAGCACACAGCCTGGAAGGTTGCAGGAAGGGACTGTTACAGACACTGGCCACAGGAAACAGACCTGTGGCTTGTGGGATGGGAGCATGGGGACCAATGGACACTCCTTCTTCAGGCTTCATGGAGGACCCTGACAGGAAGTACCACTTTGAATGCTGCAATGAGGAGCAATGTCAGGAGTGGATAGGGGCCCTGCGGCAAGCCAGGTGGGCCAGGGTGACCCTTGGGGCTGTGAGTAGGGATAGAGCAGGGTCTGTGACCAAAGGTTGCTCTTGTCCCCAGCTATGAGTTCATGCGGAGGAGCCTCATCTTCTACAGGAGTGAGATCCAGAAGATGACCGGCAAGGTGCACATGGGTACCGAGAGGGGGTGGTGTGGGCCTCTGGGGCTGGGGCTCACCCTCTGTCTACCCACACAGGACCCCCTGGAGCAGTTCGGCATATCTGAAGAGGCCAGGTTCCAGCTGAATGGGTTGAAAGCCTGAGTCCTTTTCTTCCAGGGGCTGGAACCAGCCTGGCCCGTTCCTGCCAGGCCCTGGGTTTTTTCTGGTCAAGCTTGGATTTGCAGTTGTTTTGACTTAAAAGACTAAAGCCAAAAGCTCAGGACTGGGTGAAGTACCCAGCAAGCATCCCTGCCCTGATAGGGGGGCCCACTGGACTGGCCTCACTGGCCATGTGCTGCTGCCAGGGGGACAAGCACCCACGCCCTCGGGCAGCCCACCCAGGGCCCGCCCTGGGCAGTGCACAGACTGAATGTATGAAGCTAAACGATGCTGTGAAAGTGGGGGCCTCTCTCGTCAGGCCACTGTGAACTCTGCTGATGGGCAGGTCCTGGCCAGGTGCTTTGGGCTGGCTTCTTACTCTGTTCAAATAAAGGTACCTCTTTTCCACATGGAATGGTACACTGGATGCAGGAAGGACAGGTGTCGTCCTTTGCAGGCCCCAGGGGGCAGTGAGGGTGACGGGACAAAGTTTCTCTCCAGGGTCAGTACCTGGGTAGAAGGGGCTGGGCCACCAGCAGAGGAGCAGGGGCAGGGCTGAGGGCTGTAAGCCAGAAAGCCCCGGGGCGTAGGACCCAGGCCTTGAAGGCCAGTGTGGCTGTGACCAGTGTGGCCAGCTCCCAAGATGACCTCATGGACCCACCTTCGCTTTTGGGCCTCCCTGAGTGGAAGACAGAATTGGAACAGCGCAGCTCAGTTGGCCCTTCTGGGGTTCTCACCTGGTCCAGCTCTGGCAGAGGGCCTGGGGCTCCGTGTTCACAGCTACCGCCTGAGTGACTGCCGGCCCCCCACCCAGGGGATGGTGAGTGCAACCTAGTGCTCCGTGGGCCTCTCAAGACCCTGCTGAGAGGGCCCCTCATTAAGGAAATACCATGTCCAGACAAGGTTCAAGTGAAAACATTTTATTACAGAGTCTAAAGGTGGAAATGCAGAATGCAGTGGGATACCCTTTGGGAGTGAGGGTCATGCCAGCAGCCTAGAGATGGGCATGCCAGTGCCCTCAGCTGAGCTGAACGTTTACCACACAGACAGCCAAGCCTCAGGTTACATCACGGTGGAGATAAGAGAAACAGGCCAAGCTTGAGTGAACGGACACGGTGGGGGGGGGGAGTTGGAGGGGGGGCGCGGGACACGGACGGGTGGTAGGGAGGAAGGTGAGAAGTGGACACGCCTATGATGGGCAGCGCAGAGAGGTAAAGGCGAGGGTGTCTCAATAAGTCACGATTCCTAACTTAGAAGGAAGGCTGACCCCTCCTGGCCAGGAGGGCCCTCAAGCCCACCTCCCAGTGGGCCACTTTGTTGTCACAGTTTTCCTGAGCAAAGTAATCCCAGGCCTGCTAGACTTCCCTGAAATGCCCACGGCCAACAGCACCACCTGCAGCTGCCAGAGGGAGCGGGCACCTTACCATCCCTCCCACAGATGGACTGACAACAGGCCTTAGCTTACTATGCTGGTCAGGCCTAGGGCCCCCAGAGGACTAGAGGGTCCACTCCAGTGTGACCCATACTGCTCCCAGACCCCGCGCCACAGGACGCCCCGATGCTGACAGCTGCGGACCCAGCTCAGCTTGTAGTTGGGCACAGCCCGAATGAAGCGCTGTCCCGAGTCCCAAGGCTCAGGCACACGTGCAGACAGTCGTGTGGGGATAGTTATGGCACAGTCAGTAGAAGCCCCACGCGATCACCCTGTCACCCCTGCCTCATCCCTTGGGGGGCAACCAGACGTGATACAATGTTGTATAAAGGGCTGCTTTGTTCTAGATCAGGGACAACTCCTAACTTCTCTACAGTGAGCCCTGTAGCTTTCTAGAGCCCTGGCTTCCGGTGCCAAAGAGGGGCCCAAGGGCTGGGGAAGGGCACAAGGTTCATAGGGTGGGCACAGCACCTTGGCGCTGCCAACAGCACCGCCCAGGACAGAAGGGAGCAGGGCAGCTGCTTACAAGAGGACGGGCCAGGTCTAGAAACTCGTCCTAAGCACCATCTTCAGCCTCCAGTATTGCTCTGGTTGGGGCACAGCATGCCATCACAGGGAAAGCCTCTTGCCCAAAGGGAATTAGCGTGCCAGCAAACCTACTGATCCCAGCCAGGGGAGGCCTGCTCTGCAGTGGTGGGAAGGCAGGGGCCTGGCAAGAGCACCGGCATCGCTTGGGGTGGGGCCGTGTAGACCAGCTTCACACTTCGAGTGCTCCTTGGTGGTGCCAAGGGGGCCAGCACCTAAGAGTGGGGCTCCAGCTGCACCCTGCCACCTTGGGGCTGGTACCTAGCCAACAAGGGCCTGTTTCGGGGGGCTGAGGGCTTCTGGACATGTCCTTGAAAACTTGGAGCCCAGGAGCCATCCCAGATGGCCGCCCCAAAGGGCCCCGAGAACCCTGCTAGTCACCTCTAGAAGCATCTGGAACAGCACTGCAAGTCGAGCCCTGGCCGCCAGCCCCCACTGCCAGTGCACTGGGTCTCTGCATGCGGGGCTGCCTGCAGACATCACCCGCTGGGGTGGGGGCTGCGGCTGGCCTGAGCCACTGCCACTGTGCATTAAATAAATAAAAAGGTCCCCCTTTACTTTTTTCTTCCTTTTTTTTTAGTTTACTGTGCATTATACCATCTAAAAATAAATGAAGTCAAGTCTATGAAATTTATAAATTTTCATCACATCTCTATAAAATACTGTCGCCCTCAGCATGACTTCTGTACAGACACACCAGGCACCAGGCTGACCTGCCCCATCACCGGACATGCCACGCGGGCTCGGAAGGAGGCCCTCACGAGCGGACGCACAAAGTAAATGCACTTATACACGGCCAGCCACGTCTTCCACAAGCACCACTGGGAACGGTCCCCCTTGGAACACACCTGCGGCCCTGCCCCATGGACTGGAAGGCTGACTGTCCCCCGCTCCCACCCGCCCGTCAGCTCCGAGGCCAAAGACCCGGTCCTGGGCCCCGGTCTCAGTGAGGGGAGGGCCTTCTTGGGGGAGTACCCCTTCGCGAGACAGCAGACTGCCCCCCACCTGGAGCAGGGAGCCTTTGGTGTAGGAGGAGCGACGGGGTAAGCAGGGCAGGCGCTGCCGAGGACGGGATTTGGCGTTGGTCACCTGGGGAGTCAGCACCAGGAGGACGTGGAGGCGGGCGGGCGGGCGGGCAGGCGGGCGGCCAGATAGCACCAGGACCAGCGTCGGCGTCTCGCGGGCCAGTCCTTCCCATAGACATCTGTATATAGATCCTCTCAGATATAGGTATGTACATTTCTCAATAGTTGCCTTTTACAACTTCAGTGGAATAAAATAAGTCAAGTTGTTTATACTTTTTTAAAAACGATAAATACTTTATCTAAAACTATCGACAGCAGGAGCTGGAGCCGAGCCCCAGCACCGCAGGTCTGCCAGCGCTGATTCACAGTAGAACCTCGTCTTCTGTCCTGTCTGTCCCCGTCCAGCGGCGAGCCCCATCCTTGCATAGGTCTCGTGGTTGAGGTAGAAGTCCTAGTTACCTGCGGAGACAGTGCAGGAGGGGAGACAGCAAGTGTCAGGGTTTCACTTGGAGACACCCAACATTTCCCCAGGCCAGGGAACAAAGTGCTCTACAGACACGCCGGAGACACAGACGAAACGGTCAAAGGACCCTCTCCTGGCCGACCTGGTGTATTCCGAGCCCAGCCAGAGCAGGAAGCCCAACCCAGCGGCCCTGGCTGGCGTGAGGGACAGGACCTTGGCTCTCAAGTCACCACCTGCCAGAACTGCTCATGGTGGACGGGCCAGTGCTGTCCAACAGCAACCTAGCTTCCTTGGTGGGCCCAGACAGGACAGAAGGGTGTCCACTGTGGACACTTCCACCAGCATGGCTGGCTCGCAACAGCACCCAACAGGAGGCTGTTTGAGCTCAAGCAGCCTCCCATCTTTCTTATGCCACAATACCCGGCAGATGGTCAACAGAGCAGGGTGACCCCACACCTGGCTCGTGTCCATTAGCACAGGCCCACCTTCTGGCCTTCGGGTCCTTGCCTTGTGGGCCATGGGCATGCCCAGGAAGGCTCTTTGCCTCTGGGGTACCGTATTGGAAGGGTAGAGTAGGCAGGTAGTGCCTACTTGCCAGCCCCACCCCGGGCTGAGGAAAGGCAACGCTGGCCCTCTGAGGCAGTCTCTGGCCAGGGGAGGTGCAGACAGGCCCTCCCTGAGACAGGCCCTCCCTGAAGGCTTCACGGTCACTTCCGTGGACTGTTCCCACAAGTGAGCACCTCCACTGCTCTTCACTGGCAGTGATGGCAGCAGCTATGAGCTGTGTGTACGTTTCTCAGGGAGACTGGATGGAGTACTCCATTCCTTGCAGGCCAGAGGAGCTGACCTGAGGCCATGACGACGAAGCAAGCACCTGTCGGTCAGGCAGCCCCTTGCTCTGCAGTCAGCTCCTGGTGTGTGTGGGTTGGGGCTGGCAGGTGGGACCTCTAGCTAAGGAACCCAAAGATGGACAGTGAACCCAGCGCCTTAGCCAATAGAAAATAATCTACAACCGTGGAGGTGCATTTGACCAGAGACTGAGAAACACCTGAGCAGACTAACCACAACACAGGCTGTCCCAGATGGCTCCACGCCAGGTGTCCAGGTCACCACCACCATGGACACAGCCAGAGGGTGGCCACAAGCTGGCCTCAACAGCATCTCCTGGTCTGTCCCTGGTGCTTAAGGTGGCCAGCAGCACCCACAGAGCAGGTGTGCATGTCCCTGGAGACATGGTGTGAGGTCCAGGCAGCAGGAGGCTGGCCGCCCTCTCAGGACACTGCGGGTGCATGGCAGCAGCCCTGCCCACGGCAGTCCAGGGCTCCCCGCCGCCTTGTGCTTGTTCACTCTACATCTCAGTGCCAGCTGCCTCTGCCATCCTCCTACCCCATATGCTTGACCCCTGCCCTCGAGGAGTCCTGTGCCCATCTGTCCTCTGCAAAGGAAGGCAGTTCAGTTCTTGCAGGGACCCCTGGTTCGCCTCTAGCCTTACCTTACAGAATACGAACTGCTAGCTAAGCAAGGTCTTTATCGTGGCTTAACCCCCGCAAGGCGCGTGGCATACGGAGGCGGCATGCCAAGGGAAACCCACACAGCGGATGGCCCCGTGGAGCTGGCCTGCGGGATCACGGGCGCAGCCTGCGCCAGGGTTAGCCCGGGCAGTGGTTGGTGGTGCACCGTGAAGGAAGGGTGGGACACCTTGTGCGGGAGGGAGGCGAGCTTGATGGACAAAGAGGCGTTAGCAGGCTGGAGAGAGGCGGCAGAAGAGGGGGGTAAGAAAGTTTTGTTAGCCGGGATGGACGCTAGGCTCTGCAGAAGCACGGGCTCAGAGTTAGACGCGAGCAGCGCGGGGGGAGGAGGCAAGGCAGCGTTAGGAGGGGGGGGTGCGTGGAGGGGGGGCTGCCCCGGAGGGTGTCGGGCCAGGTGCTGAGCAGGCGGGGGGGGGGGCGGCCTCGTCTCTGCAGAGGACGGGCCCTGAAAGGAAGAGGCGGGGGTGCCGGCCACCGCCTGCAGCGGGGTTAAGCTCAGCGTGGCGCTGCGACATGCAGCCCCGCTGCCGAGACTGGCTCCAAACAGATGAGAGGAGGCGGCAGGCACCGCGTGGTTAAAGACACCTGCAAACAGGAGAGAAAAACTCAGCTTCAACAGGTGGGCATTCTCCAGCAAGTGACAAGAAGCACGCGCACACTCACACACGGGGGAAGCAGACAGCAGCCGAAGCTCCGCGTGCGTGGCAGGTGCGAGAACAAAGCAGCAAGCAGCGGGAGCTCAGGCAGCCAGGTTAACACTCACCTGTGGGATGGCTCCGGCGCCACAACCCCCACCCGAGGCACGCCTGCCAGGCTCCTGGCTGCCAGCATGGCCCTCACTGCCCACGTCCAGCCAGCTGCTGGCTGCAGAGGTCAGGGACCCTGCAGCGCCCGGCCAGGCTGGCCCGGGACTCTGCCCCGTGCTACCAGAGCCGGCACTTGTAGTGGGCGTCTGAGCCCCTCGCTCCCCCGGCTCAGCCCCACAGCCTGCCCAGGAGCCCACGGCTGGTCTCCGACAGGTGACCTCCACGGGAGGAAGGCAGGCCATGGTCAGGGTGGGCTCTTCTGAGGGTGAGACAGACACCATCACAACCAGAGAGCTCCCAAAGGTGACCCAAGCACGAGCTCTCTGCCACACGAGCTACGACTGCGCCTTGTGAAGAGGAACAAGGTGGGTGCAAAGTGGACACAGGACGTGTGAGCACAGCCTGGCCTGTGGGGCTCCAAAAGGGAACCTGAAAGGCAGTCGTGATTAACCCGGCGTCCAGGAGGGCGGCTGTGGCTCGTGGCGCCACGCCCCAGACCCCAGCACAGGCCTCGGGGACCGGAGACCTGCGAGTCACGTAAGAGACTCGCCCCTGCCTACCTCCAACTGCGCCACCGGCCACCCCGGAGGAGAAGCTGCCCATGGCGTGCGAGTTGGTCAGTCTGGTTGCAGCGGATGAGACGTGCACCAGGCCAGCCGCGGCCGGCACGGAGCTGAACAAGGACTGTAGCACTGATGAGCCCAGGTTGGCCTGCAGGGACATGGGGCCCAGAGTGAACTGCGGGCTGGGGGCAAAGGTGCCCAGGAAGGAGCGATGTGTCTGGGCAGAGGGCGCCGCGGTGCCCACCGAGGATGCCACCGTGGTGAGACCAGGGCCGCTGAGGAGGCCCCCAGGGGGCACGGCAGCTGCAGAGATGAAAAGGTTGTGCCCACTCTTGAACTCAGGTTCTCGGTCCCGGCCCCGGCCAGCCTTGACACCGTGCGCCAGAGGGGCCTTCTCCGGGGGCCCGCACGGCGGCAGGCCCGCCTCAGCCGCTTCCTTGCCCTTGACCCCCTCGCCTTTCGGGACCCCCAGTCCATCCAGCTGCCTCTTGTTCAGGAAGGGGCCGGACTCCGAGGTGCTGCCCTCCTTGCCGCGAGGGGTGGGGAAGCTCAGAGGGGCACTCAGGCTGGCTGCCTCGGGGCCCTTGTGGGAGAGAGAAGCACCATCGTTGAAGCTGTGTAAACTGAGGTCAGCGGCCAGGCCCCCACTGAAGGCAAAACCGTTGGGAGGGTTGTTGCTTGGGCTGAGCCCACCAGCCGACAGGGGGCCAGAAAAGCTTTTCCTGGGGTGACTGGCGAGCTTGGTGTCAGTCGAGCTGGGTTCCTCCAGGGTGGGCCGGAAAGCAAACAGGGAGCCCTGGCTCAGTGTGGAGCCAGCTTGCAGTGGGCTGTCTGCAGCCTTGGCCAGTCCAATGTCAGAGATGGGCGAGAAGGTGGACTTCCACTTGCTGCTGTTGACGGGTTCACTGGCAGGCAGCAGCTTCCTGCCCGCGACGCTGCCACCTGAGGAAGAAAGGCAGAAGCTGGGGCCCAGGAAGGTCTGAGCAACAGCAGTAGGGTCCCTGAGGAGGTCTGGGGTGGAGCTAATTGAGACCCCCATAGGGCAGGATCAGGCCTGCCCACATGTGGTTCTTTGGGAAACAAGAGCTATCCAGCGTCAGTGAAGTGCAGGGGAAGGCACGTGGCACATTGCAGCCCCATGTCTTCCCCAGGGAGGCCTGTGAGGGCAGAATGGGCAGCGTGGCCCAGGTAGCACCATCACAGGAGACCATTCTGGAAGTCCAGCCTTATTTACTCCCAGGTTGGGGATCAGGCCACCCCACCCCACCCCGGGGAGAGAAGTGACAAGGAACATGGCACTTACCATTTTCTAAAGTTTTTGGAGGAGATTTACTTTCTAAGGAGATTGTTGCAATTTTTCTCTCAATTCTATCAAGAAAAAAAAAAAAGGTTAATACTCACATGCACACAAACTGCTGTGTGAATACTAACAAGGAACTGCAAGGGCCTGGGAAGTGGTGGACACTGCTTCCCACAGAAGGCGCCCTCTGTGGAGGAGGAGCCCAGGGAGGGGGAGGGCAGGGACGGGGAGAGGGTTGCAGGGGGAGAGCAGGCCGGGAAGAGGCGCAGCAAGCCACGCCAGGATGCAGAGCACACACGCTCATCCCCATCCTCCGCTCATCCCCATCCTCCGCTCATCCCCATCCTCCGCTCATCCCCATCCTCCGCTCATCCCCACCCTCTGGCTCATCCCCACCCTCTGGCTCATCCCCACCCTCCGCTCATCCCCACCCTCTGGCTCATCCCCATCCTCCCGGCTCATCCCCACCCTCCGCTCATCCCCACCCTCCGCTCATCCCCA